GTCCCATGTTTGGTTTAAGAAGTTCTATTTGCATTCATATGAAAAAAGAAAATTTATCAATCTCATTGTACTAATGGAATATTAATACTCATTAGACATGTCCTGGTTTGACATAAGATAACATTGAGTGACAGTCAATGCCTAGCTTACGTGTCGAAAGTAATTAAATAAACAAATAACTTATTCAGCTTTCCACGCTGTGGCTAAATTCAGTTTCACTTAAGTTATCAGAGAGAGAATTCACTTAAACTTTAAGAAATAAATCATACAGTAGCCAATTACTGGGTGGAGGCAAGAGTTCCTAGATGCACGCATTCTTTTCGAGCTATGATCTCAACATTTATATTGTCTTAATCATTGCAGATCTTAGTGATTGGGCATTTTCCAGGAGGACAATCGCAACTGGCAAAGTCAAATTTGTTCTGCGTATGTGCAGATGTTTGTTTTCCTGCAGAATTTGTGCAGTCCGGGGTATATCGTTGTGTAATTTCACCTCAACCCCCTGGGCTGGTAAATTTGTATTTGAGTTTCGACGGTAATACACCAATCAGTCAAGTCATGACCTATGAGTTTCGAGCTCCTTCAGCACGCAAATGGACAGCTCCTCTGGAGGAACAGTCTAGTTGGGATGAATTTAGAGTCCAGATGAGGCTAGCTCATTTGCTCTTCTCTACATCTAAGAGCCTAAGCATTTTTTCCAGTAAAGTACACCAAGATTCCCTGAAAGAAGCAAAGAGATTTGTTCGAAAATGTTCGCACATTACTGATAATTGGGCATATCTGATCAAATCAATTGAAGACAGGAAACTCCCTGTCCCACATGCAAAAGACTGCTTGTTCGAGCTGTCTTTGCAAACAAAGTTTCATGAATGGCTGTTAGAAAGAGTTATTGGAGGGTGTAAAACCTCAGAGTGGGACGAGCAAGGTCAAGGAGTTATCCATTTGTGTGCTATCCTAGGTTATACTTGGGCTGTATATCCATTTTCCTGGTCAGGCTTATCATTGGATTACCGGGACAAGTATGGTTGGACAGCTCTTCACTGGGCTGCTCATTATGGAAGGTAATCCTTAGTGCAGCTAAGGGGTTTTGAAATCATTATTATTTGATTGCTTAAAAATAAAAATCATGAAGCTTCTTCTTATTTGAGTATACGTCTACTGCTGTCCACCAAAATGTCTGACCCACGCCACCCCCTTTCCTCCACCTCCCCCAACCAAACAAAGGAAAAAATGTTTAATGAAATGAAAACATAACCAGGGTACATTTATTTTGAATATTACAATTTTTCAGCATATTGGTTGCTTACTTTTGGGATTTTCGACTATCAGAGAGAAAATGGTTGCAACCCTTCTATCCGCCAGTGCAAAACCAAATTTGGTGACAGACCCTACTTCAGAGAACCCTGGTGGATCCACTGCTGCTGATCTTGCATCTAAAAATGGTTTCGAGGGTTTGGGGGCTTATCTTGCGGAGAAGGCTTTAGTTGCACACTTTAAGGATATGACCTTGGCTGGAAATGTTAGTGGTTCACTGCAGACCACTACTGAACATATAAACTCTGGAAACTTCACGGAGGAGGAGCTATATCTTAAGGATACTTTGGCAGCTTATCGTACTGCTGCTGATGCTGCTGCACGTATACAGGCTGCATTCAGAGAACATTCATTCAAAGTACAGACTAAAGCTGTCGAGTCTTCAAATCCGGAGATAGAAGCACGTAATATAGTTGCAGCTATGAAGATTCAGCATGCTTTCCGCAATTATGAGTCGCGGAAAAAACTGGCTGCTGCTGCACGAATCCAATATAGGTTCCGTAGTTGGAAAATGCGGAAAGATTTTCTTAACATGCGGCGACATGCGATTAAAATTCAAGTAAGTTGCCCCATTTTCTGTTTCTTCCTCAGAAGTCTGGCTGATGAATTCGAGCCACCTCTTCCATCGAAGGGCTGAAGTTCAAAATGCTTCTTGTCTGTTTGATCCAAGTTAGAATTGTGTTCCATCTTGCTTTAAATTTCAAGTGATCTGCTCACTGGGATGAGGTGGGCATTGTGTTCATTAATTGGAAGAAGAGATCATACCATGTTATCTTCACATTGATTTCCTTAAATCTCCAATATAGCAATAAACCTACAAAGGATGCTTTATTGTTTTGAATATGCTACCTGATGCTATCAAATATTTCTTGAAATCAACTTATCTTAGGAAAAAGAAAAAGTAACTCTTCTGTTGATACTGCTACATCTCTTCCTGTAGACATTTTTTTTTTTGAAAAGATAAATAATCTTATTAAGTAGACAGGACAAATTTAAATAGTGGAACATACCTCTGGTTTATGCAGGCTGTGTTCCGTGGTTTCCAAGTCCGGAAGCAGTATCGCAAGATAGTTTGGTCTGTTGGGGTGCTTGAAAAGGCAGTGTTGAGATGGCGTTTGAAGAGAAAAGGCTTTCGTGGTCTTCAGGTTCAATCTAGTCAAGCAGTGGATATCAAGCCTGATGGTGATGTGGAGGAGGACTTCTTCCGAGCCAGTAGGAAACAAGCTGAGGAGCGTGTTGAAAGGTCTGTTGTACGAGTTCAGGCCATGTTCCGTTCAAAGCGAGCACAAGAAGAATATAGGAGGATGAAATTGGAACATGATAATGCTACGGTAAGGGAGCACTTCATTTCTTTTTTGGAGGGAGACAAACTTCAAGGTGTAACTCATTTCTTGATATTTACCATATTTTCTGTTTTGGCAGCTGGAATACGAAAGGGCTTCTGTACTCAATCCTGATATCCAGATAGGTTAAGAAGATAAGATACAAGTATTTCCCTGAAATATTTGGAGCTACAATGGNGTGTGCTTCTTTTGCAAATCGATTTGTACATTAGTAGAGATCTTGTAAATTGGTAGATTGAGTTGAGTTATTCGACCCTGCAAATGTTTTAGAAAAGCGTGGGTTGGCAGTTGCAGTAACCTGTTTAGAGGAGTAAAACTGACATGTCGCTTCTATGGTTAAGCTTGCTCTCGGTGAGCGTCTTGCTTAGGTGATGTTCAATATGCAGTATTGATTCTCATGATATGATGATTTGACATTTCTATTATCAAACAAAATGGGGCATGGACCATATGGTCAAGTTCGCGTGAACATGATAAACACCTCAATGATAAATATTGATTTTGGATGAAATGGCTCAAATAAATAATTTTGAACTTAGATATTTTGATTCTTTGATTTGCTTTCGTTTTTGAAATTTAATGCTTGAAACTTATGGAGAAATACTTGGAAGTCCAACAAACTCAAGAACATTGGTGTAATTTTAATGGTCTTGGATTTGTTTTCTCATGCCACGTTACTTGATGTGTGGCATGAACATCAAAGGACTTGCAGAAATAAGGTGGACTCATCATGTGCAACCCAACAAGATGAAGTTGGACCTTTTAACTTAAAGGATTAGTTAGTTCAATTATATTATCCATGACATTTATATGGGCTAATATGCTTAAGTTAAGAGGGTAATTCGAAAGGGATTTTTTTGTTCCTATACACTATTTGAAATCTTATTACTAAAAATGTCCCAGTTTTGGAATTTACCCGACCTAAATACGTTTTAGCAACAAAAAATATACATTTGTTTAATCTAGACTCCTTTCTGCGGTAGACTGACTTATTTAGACGCGCGATTTTGTGATAGCTTATATTTCAGTTAGAAATTTTAGACGCAATCATCGCACCATAATCAAGGCAAACATATTTGTAGAATGCTTCTATTATGCAGATTTTCACTGGTTATCATCATACTATAATCAAGGCAATATATCTGTAGAATTCTTCTATTACGCAGATTTTCTCTGATTTTTCACAAGTCAACAAACTAAAAAAAAAAAAAGCTTCTCAAGAAAACAATTGTAAACAATTAGCTACAATTGAATTGAATTTCATGACATAATGTCAAAATTGGCGATTATATTTTAGCTCAATGGTCGGTGGGATAACATTGGGAGATACAAAGATTTTGATGTTGACAGAATTGTAGTCAATGAAGATTCTTGCAGAGCATCTAATGATCGATACCTCTGCAAAAACCATCGAAATCAAATACACTGTCAACGAACGTTGTCCTCCAATGGAATTCAGAACGATATGAGAGTTCGAGTGTATATGGAGACTAAAAAGGAAAATAAAAACTTAGGAATGTATCCATTGTGTAACAGTACGTGATTTCGATTTGGAATGCAGTATGTCGAATGCGAGCACAATTGCAGGTTTGCTATATTTTTCCAGTGCTGATGTTTTTCAATTTTAGTGTTCTACAATTTTACTACAAATTAGCTACAACTATACTACATAACAAATGTAGTTCAACTGTTATGTCTCTAAATACATTTGAAGTGTAATTGTTATACATAGGTCTGAATTACTATACTTTTAATTGAGTGCAGGTACTTCTGATTATCGTAATACTAACGTGCTACAATTGTCAAGCAATTGTAACACAATTGGAGAAGTATCAGGAACAGTGAAGTTGATTGATATGCCAACATCTCCGGCAATTGTGGAATATGAAAGTATCATCATAACAGAACATATGCCAAATGTAATTGAAGTAGGCCAAGTTTACCAAGACAAGCAAATAATTGTCAGTGCAATGAAGCACTATTCTGTCATGAATAAGTTTCAATTTAGGGTGAAAAGGTATAGTGCAAGAAGGTAGGAACATTTTATTTGTCAAATTCATAGTGTATAAGTTGTAGTTTTTATGTATATAATTGTATATAAATTATTTAAAATAATTTATTATGCATAAACAACCTCGTATTTTGTAGCTACAATTTTCATAATATTTTTTTTAATTATTTTTATTTTGTAGCTACTGCCTCGTATGTGTTGGGGACAATTGTACGTGACACTTCAAGTCCACCAGCATAAATGAATCATCATTGTTCCAGGTTCGAAAATTCAACAGCTTGCACACATGCTCTTTGATGGACAACACATATATACAACGCAAAGTTACTGCCATGGTAGTTGGCAGCATAGTGATGCCAAAATATGCGGATCCTAATACAATATACACACCAAAAGACATACAAACTGACATGTTGTCGGAATATGGTGTGAACTTAACATACATGCAAGCTTGGAGAGCAAAGGAAAAGGCTTTGAAATTTTTGAGAGGTCATCCTGCTGATTCCTACAGTCGCTTGCCGAGTTATTTGTATATTCTGAAGAAGAGTTATCCGAGGTCGGTGGTGAAGTTGTATAAGACTGAAGATGACTGTTTCTTATATGTATTTGTTGCTCTTAGTACGTCCATCGAGGGTTGGGAGCATTATAGGCCAGTTATAATAGTCGATGGCACCTTCTTGAAGTCAGCATATAGGGGAATCATGCTAATAGCTAACACAATGGATGCAGCAGGTAATGTAGATTAATTGTAAAAATATTGTAATAAAGTTATTTCTGAGACTGTATTTTTTATATTTTCAAGTTTTATTATTGAAGTTGAATTTCTTTTTGCTACCTATATGATAGGTAGCATATTACCACTAGCATACGCCGTTGGTGATTCAGAAAATGACGCATCATGGAGGTGTTTTTTTTGAGCAATTCAAACATGCATATGAAAAAAAACCAAATATGTGTGTTTTTTCAGACCGGAATGAGAGTATATTGAAGGCAACATCTACTGTTTATACCGGCATGCCACATTATGCTTGCATGTGGCATATTTGGATAAATGTAAGGTCAAAGTTCAAGAAAGGTCATCTAAAGTTAAGCGAATTGTACTCTGCCACGGCACGATCATACACACTTGATGAATTTAATGAAAGAATGTCAAAGATTGAAGAGATCGACACACGTGTTAAAGCATACCTATACGATAGTAGCTATCACAGATGGTCTCGGGTACATGCTACGGTGAACAGAACATGGACGATGACATCAAACATTGTAGAGTCCTTGAATGCGGTAACCAAAGATGCAAGAGAGCTGCCCGTAATTGAACTATTAGAGTACATGAGGACTCTTCTTGAACGTTGGACTAATGAAAAGTTATTGAATGCAAAAGGTACATTCACATACCTTGGAAAAAAATACAACAAAGAGTTGGAGGACAACATGACATTATCGCAGAAGATGAGAATAAGTTTTGGCCAATAACATCAGATCATTTATTTCATCAAACTAAATATATACTGATAATTATAGATATGTTGTTGTATAATTGTAGTTATTTTGTCTTTTATCTGTAGCTGAAAACTTGTTGTGTGTTTGTAATGAAATTGTAGGTGAGGACTTCAACAGATTACATTCATACTGTGATAGATGGTGTGAAGCGCTTCATTGTTTGGCTTCAAAACAAGAGATATAGTTGTGGACAATTCTAGCTTGATGAACTTTCTTGTCCACATGCTTTGGTGGCTTTGAAGCACAGGAACGAGTCTTATGAAAACTATTGTTCTCCTTATTATACGAGGGAGAGCCTTCTGTAGACTTATGAAATACCAGTAAACTCGCTGCCTGATGAAAGTAAATGGAATGTGCCACTACATATAGCAGAAGAAGTTATAATGCCACATACTGGGAAAAGGCAGCTAGGGAGACCTCAAAAACAAAGATACAAACTATATGATGAAATAAATGCAAATAAGCACAATGTTTCATGTGGCAACTACAGACAAGAAGGGCATAACAAAAGATCTTGTAGGAATGCTCCCAAAAGGAAATAAGAATTGATATAGTATAAAGAATATTTTTTTACTGAGTACTGTTGATGATAATCTGTCCTTTAAGACATATTCAGTTGTATTTGTTCTGTTTTGGAGAATTATAGTTGTGGTGTAATTGTGTTGTTAATCTGAATAAAGATTATCTCCTATAATGAATGTTTGGTAAACAGATTTCAACTCTTAATGCAATTGGTTTGTAGTTGTTTTGTTCAAAAACTGGGTTTATTTATTAGTTTTAAGCTTTTCCTAACAATACTGCTAAAACTGAATAGATTATATATTTTTGTATAGTAATTGTAGACATAATTGCAGCTATGCTGTAAAGAAATTATATAGTACCAATATCGAGATCAAGTACTAACAACTTTCAACAAAAAAAACATGCCACAAATATTTTCTATTGTAAGTAATATAATTCTGGACAAAATAATAAAACAAAAGGTAAAACAACTGTAGCACAAATCTGCTACAAATAAATTGTAGCTAAATTTTTCTTAATAAATAATTTTTCTACAACTTTAATACAATCCATCTACAACTAAACACTTTCACTATAATTTTTCTACTGAAAAGGGCAACTATTTCTTCTTCTTCCGGGCTCGTGTTCTCTCCCTCATAGCTGATGCACCTTTTATTCTTGCTAATCTCCTAGTCACCTCACTTTCACTAATTGCACCAAGCTCTTGCTTTTTCCTTGCATAATCCTAAAAGAGCGCTCCATAGCGTGTACGGTGTTGATCAATATCAGAAAGGTCTTCCTTTGAAATCGAGAGTTGTACAATGCTGACATATTATGCAAATGCCGCCATGTATACACCACAATCACTGTAATAAATAATAGTGGAAAAGATTTAGCATTTAATGTAAAATACAATTGGTTAAATTGAAGGAAAAGCAGCACATACAGTGATCCCTCTTTTTGCTGGGGTATCTCACCGACCAACCACTGAATGTCAAGAGGGTCAGTAACACCTTTTTCAATACATGCCTTTGTGTTCTTATAGTTGATGTTTGGACGCTTGCCATAGAAGCAGGTGCATGACAAGTAGAGGGGGATCATAATAGCAAACTTGTCGACAACAAATTAAACAAGTTTGTGATTACGTGAAGAGACCATAGAATCATAAATACATAGAACCTTATCGGTAATGTCAAACACAACCAATAACCAATGAAATTTCTCAACAATGTTTATGGGCATAATCACAAAATCAACTTTGTCCCATGCAACATTTTCAAGTAATCGGTACCCCAATATGTATTCTGATACGACGTCCTGGGGTTTGACAACAACAAGCTTTCAATTGGCAGGGGCATTACTGTACCTCTCATCAATGTGTTCTATTCTAGTCTTGAACATTCATTCAGTGGTTGAAAACCGTGTTCTGTTTTCAGGATCACACTTTCCTCTCTTCCTCAAATAGTATAAAATAACATCAATGTGCTGCAAAAAAAATAGATTTCATTATTTCTCACTGCTGCATACAATTTAACTATAATTTTTTAAAAAAAGAAGAGATTTCTAAAATAACAGAATATTTCAGCTATTCATTAAATTCTGTCAGGGTATGAGTATACCGTGTTGTTGAGGATTTGCCCGGGATGTGCCAAAGTATAAAACCAGTCCTTTTTATCAACTTTCTCCACTCCAAAATCAAATCACGAGTTGAGCTAGTTATCTTTTATAGTATAAGGCGCCTTCTTCCTATTTAAAGACGTAGCAAGTACAATTAAAATGTAGTTGCAATTGGAAATCCATAAATTCTATGCACTCGATAATACAAGAAGTGTATAATCTAACCTCTTTGAAACCGTGTCGGTACCTAAATATAACCATTTATTGAATTCTTCCAACAAATCAGGATCAACATCGTCTCCAATAACCCCCAGTAAATGGATGCTTGATGTTGAAAATTAGAGGAGGTCCAGCAGAAGTGCTTCCACCAGAACTAAAATAAGGGAGAAAGGGGGATCTGGCATGCTTTCCAGGAACCCTTGTTCTTTCTTGATGGACAAGGGTTGTTTCATCTTCATTAATCTTGCCGAACTTAACTATCTGTGAGAAGTTCTTGGGCAGCTCAAAATTATCAAGTGTTATTGCCCTTTTTCCAGACCTGGAGTCATTGTCCGAGTCAGCTATATTGATGAAGTCGACTGGTTCACTTACAAAGTTAAAAATAAAAGAATAACATTGTATGTTTTTTGAATCAGAAATGTTAGGAAACTATAAATGATATGAAAGCTGTTATTTTTTTCTACAATTATATTGTAATATATAATACCGCTGAAATCTTCATTGCAATCATCTGCTTGTTGTAAAATATTTGATTCTTGAATTGGAGATTGCAAATGCATAGTCTCCTTCTCCTTATTGAAATGCTCTCCTTGTATACCAACATTTGCATCCTGTTTTGGAGAGTGCACATGCATAGTTTCCTTCTCCGTGACAATAAATGTGTACAACTTAAGAGAATTGTAGATCATTTGTAGTAAACTCAAATAAAAATTGTAGATAAATTATAGTTGAATTGTAGTTAATTTATTGAAATGTTGTCATGTAGCTGAGATGTAATATGTATTGTGAAATATGTAGATAAAATGTACTAAATCATACTTGCAGTTTCTTCCTCCAATGCCTCTTGAAATTGGAAAAGATAAGTCAACACCTACTGGGCATGATATAGGAACATTCTTCTCTTTTTGAATGCCAGACATGTGTCCTGTATCTAAGACAACAATTGAAAATATAATATAGATTATTTGTTGATAATTTACGCTATATGTAGATATAATATAAATATAATGTAGATTATTTGTCATCAAATTATGTTAAAACTGTTAAAATACATGTTTTACTGCTGCTGCCCAACACTTGTTTAGCACTATTGTCATGATACTGTTATTTGTTCTTTTCTTTGTAATGCTCATCAATTTTCGCAGAACTGTCGGTAAACTGCAAGCAGAATTTGTTAAGCTATATACTTTATGAATGCTAATATAAACATAAACATGGTAAAAAATATTTTCCAAAATGAATATATTTTGAATGAAACCTTAGCAACAATGTTAGTATCCTGTTGACTTTTTATTGCCTGTAACACAGACTTGATGGAATCATTGAGTAGCACTCGAATGCTACCTAGTTCTTTAAAAACCTAAAGAACAAAAAATGCTTATAATGTATCTGACAATAAGAGGCTTACAGATATATAAAGAAAGAATCAAGAATTATGTATACCTCTTTCTTGAATAATCCAAGGTCTGAACCGACCTAAGTGTAAAAATAGAAAGAGTTAATGAAATAATTTGCATAACATAAATTAAAGAAACCAACTAGGAATATCATCAGTTGTTACCTTATCAACATCTTTTTTTAATTTTTTTAGTTGTTTCAAAATATCTTTCTTGTCATCTATTCCCATTGCCTGCTTATTGCCAGATGAAGATGGAGCATCTGTCGGATGCTCGACATGCGTTTCAGCTTCTTCAAGGATATATTCAACTTTGTCTGGCAAAGTCATTCTAGAAAGCTCTTCCGGGGCTTCAATCATGTTGGTGAACTGAGTGAAATAAAAATGTGAGGGACCTAGTCATCATAAGTATAAAATGTGTAGATATTTATATTGTATATACCATAAAATTGTAGTCTAGTTGTGTTAAGTATGTCAATATTTTGAGATACCTTATACAAAGGTGAAAAATATTTATCTTGATCCATGATGGTTTGATCATCCTCTCTTCTAATGCAGAAATCCATATATTGTCCTTACTAGCTGTCCAGTTAAGTATGCGGGGGATCGAATTATCAACCCTTATACCTATATCAGTGTTGACTGTAGAGCAACTCATACAACCAGATTTGCATAGCGAGTGAAAAATATCGAATGAGATAAAAATGCACAGAAGGATTCAACTTATGCCTAACAGACTGAAACAATTATGTATAAGTTTCGATACCCCATGCAAAATTCGCATACTGCCCCGAGTCCACCAAATAGAACCTAAAGTGGTCTATCAAGCCATTATCTTTCTCTGAAGGATAGAGGAAGAATTCTATCAGATAGAGAATACACAGCTTGACTGCATCCTCATCATTCACCCAACTACGGCTGGTTACAATTTGTTTCAAGTACGACTTCTCAACTTTTTTCTTGTTCGGAAAATAGCTCCTCATTGTTTTACTGTTATACTTAGTTGTGTAACAAAGTCCGTTAGTTCTGTAAAACATCTAAGGCCAGTGATAAGGGCAAACTCCCTCAACCCAAAGTTCAGCCTCTCACCCTTTATCTCTGCTGTAAAAAAATGATAACCGGATGCGTTCAATTCATACTTTATGAGAAGGTGAATTGCCTGATTTTGGACACATATTTTGGGCATGCAAAGAAAGTGCCCAAAACATGTCTTCTTAAATAACTATAACCATTTTCAGACAATAACACCTTGATTTGGACAGGAACAACATGGTCGGATAATGTCTGGAACCTAGTGATGCCATAATCAAAATCATGTTGTGCAAAAAATGTCCGATTCTGCACCAAAAGAAACAATAAGTTAATAAAACATGTTTAAAAACTAAAAAATAAAATAATAATAATTCTACTACACTTTAGCTACATCCATAAAGACATTAATACATTACATACAAATAAGTTATAAAATTAGTAAACATATATAACAACTGAACTACATTGAAGCTACAAATGTACGGACAAATTTATGTTTAGAGTAAGAAAGTAGAAACTAACAACTAGACATAACATATACAATTTGTTTACAGAAAATAAAACTAACATCTACAAATAGAGCAAAAAATAACCAATAAAACCGACTAAATAATTTAGTACATTTCCTAACAAAATTATTTCAAATAATGTACGACAAATCTACAATTTTCAGAAAAATGTAGAAAGGTTGATAACCAACAACAAATATGCACAATGTAGACAAAATTTCTATAAATATAGAAAAACAAAAAATAGGTACAGTCATGAGAATGAAAATAGGTTTTGTAACTAAAAAAAAGAGCAAAAATTGTAAGTACTACAATTTTACCTTCTCTAATGACTGTTGGGGTATGTTTTTAGGAGATTTTTGAACCTTCCTTCTTTTTTAAGGTTTGACTGTTGGAGAAACTTTGATTTTTTTGCAGGTTTCGGGATAACTTCTTCGACGAAATCATCATCACAAGCAATTTCTTTGCCCTTTCGCTTTACTGATTTAGCAGATGCCGAAACTTCACCATCATCCCTGTCATGCTTGAATTTTGTTCGCGCTTCTGCCCTAGCTTCACGAGGGGAAAGCTTGGGCTTTGTCTCTGATTTTGCATGTCTCGATTTCACTATTTTGTTGGGTGAATCCTGTGAGAAAACACCCAAATTAAAAGTAGGAATATCACAAATATTAGCTTTTTTAGGACTATTCTTCAGAAATCCTTTCTTCTTCATTATAAGGGAAGGAAAATTTGAAACTGATACTGATTTCGTAGGGTTTTGAGAGAGAAACCAGAAAGTTTGAGAGAGATATTATAAAAGATTTTTGAACAAAATGGAAGAGAGCGTTAATGGAGGGAAAGGGTATTAGAATCGTAGGGGGTATGGACAGAGAAATGTGGGGGGAGTGGGTTATGTACGTTAGCGAGATTATATGAGTTAATTGATATCCCATTTAATTCCTAAAATGTATAGAATTGGTAAATATGCTTATGTAATTAAATTGAAACTTGAATAAGGAGGGTAATAAGGTTTCAAATAGTGTATAGGAAGGTAAAAGTCCCGGTTCGAAATGAGATGAATTAAATCCAAGATATTTTAAAGTGTGCGCACCAATAAAAGCCAAATTAATCCCAACTAACTTTTTTAAGCTCATGATTCATAATAAATCACTAATAGGAATTTTAAACCTTTGAAGGTCTTAACTTTTCAGTGGCGCTAAGTATCAGAAAAGCAAAGTGATGTTCACCTAGAGGTTACAAGCGCAACCAACGATGGACACGCAAAGCAAAGTGATGTTCACCTAAAAGTAGTTATTCATTCACATTGGCAATTTATAGAAGGCATTAGGAGCTTTAGATTAGATATAAACAAGCCTGCATGCGTTGAAGTTCTATAAATAACCTAATTTTAATTTCATAAAAGCAGGGTTAGCCATCTCTTGCATTTGGCAAGGTATTTAAGGGAAATTAAGAACCTTTACTGTATAAATAATAAAAGTAAAATATTTACCCCTCAAGAGGTGCTGACAACGCCTGACTTTACCCAAGAAACGAGCCAAAAATGGCAGGATGAGAACATTGAAATAGCTAGATTGATAGGATTACCTGCTTTAGTTATTGTGCTTTCCTCATACATAGTTTCTACCAGTCACTCTAAGAACACACTGTTCTGTATATCTCTTTTTCCCTTCTGCTAAGCGCATTATATACAGACAGATTAGATCTACAAAGACACGGAAAGACTGAAGATAACCTATAACTAGAAAGAAGATACTAAAAAGCTAGTTTTTCTATCCAGTACAACCCGACATACGTCCTCTGTCACAAGTCCAAGATATACCTTCTTGATTGGAAATAATTCTCTTTGTTCTTGCCCCCCTTCCCCACCAATGGGTTGGAATCACAAAGATGAAATTTGCCAAGAAGTACTTTGTGGTAAACTCTCCTACTTGATGTATTGCGACATCCACTTGAAGCCCTCACCATATCCCATCTTACGGACAATGCTGCACATAAACACTTCGATCGGACGGACATTTGTACCAGCGAGGTTGACGTTACCCTTGCCAGTGGTCACACCAGTTAGGCCCAAGTGATAACGCAGCTCGTCTTCTGAAGCAGCATATGGTATATCAATCTTGTTTCCCAGAATGAGAAATGGAACATTTGCCAATGATTCATCTGAGAGAAGCCCATCTAATTCCTTCTTTGACTCAGGAAACCTCTCTCGGTCATAAGCATCAACAAGGTAAACAACAGTGTCCACCTACAAATGGAAAAACGTGATTGTCAAGCAGTAGTAGAGTATGGAAAGCCTAGATGAAACTATTACAACAGACTTGCAAATATCCATGTCAATACTGACCTACTAAAACCCTTGAAGCTAATGATGCA